GTCCCACATGTAACAGTCCATTTTGTATATCATTTTAAAAGTAGGACATGGTTCAGAGAACAGCAAGTGCTGCAATTCTCTATACCAGTGATGGCGAACCTTTGAGAGTGCCCAAACTGCGACCCAAAACCCACTTATTTATCGCAAAGTGCCAACACGGCAATTTAACCTGAATACTGAGGTTTTACTTTAGAAAACAACAACTCATACATTACAACTCATGCGGTGGCTCAAGTGGTTAAGACCCTGAACTGCAGGCTGTGGAAGGTCAGTAGTTCAGCAGTTCGAGACCTGGGTGCCACATGATGGAGTGAGCTCCCGTCTCTAGTTCCAGCTCCTGCCAACCTAGCAGTTCGAAAGCAAGAAATTGCAAGTAGATAAATAGGTACCACTTCGGTGGGAAGGTAACAGCGTTCCGTGCGCCTTGGTGTTTAGTCATGCCGGCCACATGACCACAGAAACGTCTTCGGACATTTCAAAAGCTCTTCGGCTTTGAAACGGAGATGAGCACCGCAACCCTAGAGTCGGATTTGACTGGCTTTCGAGCAAGGGAGCCTTTACCTTTACCTTACATTAACGTAAGATGATCCAAACAAAGTAAGGAAAGCAATCCCAAATGCTTTCATTTACTTAAAATTATTTGGCAAAGAATTCGACACTTTAATGATGGTCCAGGCCTGACTGGGGCAATGGCACACGTGCCCACAGAGAGGGCTCTGAGTGCCACCTCTGGCACCCGTGCCATAGGTTCGCCACCACTGCTATACATTTAAGGTAAAGGTTTCCCTTGCTCGAAAGCCCTAGAGACATTTCTGTGGTCAGCCTGAGGATGTAGACAGGATTCTGGGAAGTTTTAGACCTCACATCTCTCTAAACCTTGCCCCTCACAATTGCTTCAAACTGCTTGGAGGGAGGGGGGCTGGCAGACAGCAAACGCCTCTCTAAGAGACAGGGTGGTATCTGACCCGTGGGGGCAAATTCCACCTCTCGCGTGTGATGTCTGAGCGGCATCACATGCAAGAGGTCATTCTGGCTCCCCCAGCTCTCATTAGGGGCTCTTTAAAAAGTTATGGCCGCCGGCTGTCGGCAGCCGCTGTAGCGGTTGTGGGGGAGGGGCGAAACGTTTCCCCGCCTCTCTGAGCCCCGGGGTAGTGGACTTTGACTCATGGGGGCAAATTCCACCTCTCACATGTGATGTCAGCGGTGTTGCCACTAGGACATCACACGCCAGAGGTCATTCTGGGTCCCCCAGCTCTTGTTAGGGGCTCTTTAAAAAGTTATGACCGCCGGTGCTGTCAGCAGCCGCTGCAGCAGCCGTTGGGGGGAGGGGCGAAATGCGTGGAAGCAAATTCCACCTCTCGCGTGTGAATCACATGCAAGACATCACACACGAGAGGTCATGCTGGCTCCCCCAGTTCTCGTTAGGGAGTGTTTAAAAAGTTATGGCACTGTCGACAGCCGCTGCAGCGGCCGCAGGGGGAGGGGCAAAATATTTCCCCGCCTCTCTGAGCCCCGGGGTGGTGGCCTTGGACTCGTGGGGGCAAATTCCACCTCTTGCGTGTGATGTCCAAGCAGCGTTGCCACTCAGACATCACACGCTAGAGGTCATTCTGGCTCCCCCAGCTCTCGTTAGGGGCTCTTTAAAAAGTTATGGCTGCCGGCGCTGTCGGCGGCCGTGGGGGGAAACGTTTCACATCTCTCCCGTGTGATGTCTGCCGCGATAGCGGGGCCATAACTTTTTAGAGCCCCTAATGAGAGCTGGGGTAGCCTACTCTCCATTATTCCCTATGGGCAATCATGGATTCTCTATTGGCTATTATGGATTCTGTATTGGCAATTATGTACTCCATTATCAACTATGGGCAAGCCTACTTTTCATTATTCCCTATGGGCAATCATGCATTCACTATTGGCATTCATGTATACCCTATGGGCAATCGCTGTTGACTCATGTATACCCTATGGGCTGCAACCAACGGAGATTATAAATGAGAAGTAAAAAACTTCGGGGGG